CTTACATTTTGTTCGTAATTCGAGCTACAGAGTGTTGTTGAAAAAATATATCCGAAATGTTTCTAATTTCGAAAAAAAAATTTCTCAACTTTAAAAGTATTTTAGATAATAATATTTTTATTAAAGATTGTTCTATTCACCCTGTTCTCTGCATGAATGTAGAAGGTAAGTATTATACAGGAGGAAACATTAAACAAGCCGATTCAAGCTGATTCATCTGCAATCAGGAATTATCTATGCAATGCATGCACACAAACTTTTCAAACACTAAATTCAATTTCTTCTTCAAGAAAAAACCTCACATGATACTAAACTCATCTTTTACAATGTCAACCATTCCCCTCCTTTCCCCCCACCCTCCTCCCCCTCATCCGTCCTTTCTTTTCTTTTCGCCTACCACCTATTTACCCCTAAATAAAAAATAACTTTTTACCAAACAAATCATGAAAGTAACTCACTTATATAATAATAATAATAATAATAATAATAATAACAATAATAATAATAATAATAACGTTTATTGCTAAATATCTTTTAAATTTACAAAATTGTCAGAAAATAAAAAAAAAACATGTATATGTAAATGTACAATATTGTTACAAATAATATTTTCTTCTATTTAGTATAGCAAAAGGATATAGCTAGCATAGCTGTTTGAATGCTATATCCTGAAATAATACACATGACGGTGTGAGACTATACAACTAGTAAGGAGAAACCCAGATCAGGANAGTTCTAATCGTAAATTCGATCTGGATATCTAAAGATGTGTCAGATCTGGATATCTAAAGATGTGCCAGATCTGGATATCCAAAGATGTGTCAGATCTGAATATCTAAAGCATATCGATCTAGATATCTAAAGATGTGTCAGATCTGGATATCCAAAGATGTGTGAGATCTGGATATCTAAAGATGTGTCAGATCTGGACATCTAAAGCAAATAGATCTGGATATCTCAAGATGTGCCAGATCTGGATATCTAAAGCATATCGATCTGGATATCTAAAGCATATCAATATGGATATCTAAAGCATATCAATATGGATATTCAAAGCATATCGATAGATATCTAAAGATCTGGATATCTAAAGATGTGACAGAAAAACGCTAAATATTGTCTATTTGCTTTATTTCTAGATTTAAAAACTCTTATTTTCGAAGAGTATAAATTTACTTTGTCACCAGCGTTAAGCAATACAAATTTGAATTGTGTTATAAAGTCTGTTCTAAAAATGTTTTTTTTTCCCTCTTTTCCCTGATGCCCCTCCCCTACCCACCCACTTTGCTCTAAACTGATCACACAAATATCTCGTATTGCACGCTATGTTATCTGATGAATGCTGAAGAAGAATCTTTTCAAGGATTTTAATCAAATAAAAATTCTCCATGAAATGACAGTTATACTTATATGTACGAAATTCGACTATATATAGAATATATTTTCATGCATGATATAAACATATTCTAACATTTTATATCTACGTATAACACGGGTGTTTCAATATGCAATACACATGAGCATTGAGCTTATATTAATTTTTTTGCTTCTGGTAGTTATTAAAGGGGCCGGCTGTAAGCTTAATTTCATTTGAAATTGTATCAGTTAGACCCATAAATATTTTGAATAGGAAGACGACTGTTAGTCTGAAAAAGGATAATTCAATAAAACTTCCGAGATTTCAAAACTGTGGTATGTTTAAGTTTGCTATTATCAAACCTTACAATATCTTTATTCTAAAAAAAAAAATGAAAAACGATCCGATGACGACCGTTACGACACGTTCAATTTTGCATCGTTTTTGGGTCTTTTTTTTGCATTTATCTTCTGCCGGGGTCAAAATATAACGAAAAACAAATGTCTAGAATTTAAATTTTAAACATGATTTGCTCTTCTAAAATTATGCCAACTTTTGACCCTGAAAGAATATATAGGCAAAATACGACCCAAAACACTCTTGTATGCCGAGTCCATTAGCGCCGGATCCAATTCCAGGGTTCAGTCATGTGTTTGCTGTCTCTTCTGAACCAAAAGAAATAGTATGGCGGTAACTTCTATCTTTCTCATTGTTCAATTAGAGTTATGAATCCTTCAATCGGAGCTATCACTATAATTGGAAATATTTACTTCTACTGAAACTATGGTGAAAACAAAGAAATTAAAGGCAAATCACTAACAACAATATGCTATAAAACAACACATCAAATTCACAAGAGATTGTTGAAATGTCGTCTTCCTTTTCCAGTTTTATTGGTTGTAAGTCAAACCCAAAAATTGAGAAATGTTGTGAAGAATGAACAAATTGGCGGTAACAGAAATATTTCAGCTAGGAAAGTGAAGTAAAAGGAAAGGGGAAAACATTAGGGTTGATACTTATTTTAAAAGGAGGTGGAGACACCGTAACAGCAATATTCTCCAACCCTGTAGTTTAAGCATACCTGATGTTGTAAACCTTTGATATTTCAAAACTAGAACGAAATCGGGTTGCAAAGAAAAGGAACTAAAAAATTACATTGTGTGGATCAAAACTCAATTTCTTTTTAACTCAACCATTTATACCTGTTACTATTAAATCATGATTAAATGAAGAATGCGTTTCTTATTTTTGACTTAACGATCCAAGAGCATTTATTTCAATTAATTAACTTTAAGGGTTGTTTATCGTTTTTTTTAAATCGAAAAAACTAAAATTTTTCCTTTCGTTTTCATTGTTTAATAAAAATATCGTTTAGTCTATAAAAAAAAATATCGTTATAAACTTTCAAAAAACTATAGTTTTTGAAAACAATCGTTTATTTTTATAAAAAAACTATAGTTTATGAAAAGGATCGTTTTTTTAAAAAAACCAAAAACGATCATTACGTTATTTGTTTTTCTTCGTTTTTTTTTTAAACAATCGGAAACGATCCATCATCCTTTATACCGTTAGTTAATTAATAATTTAAAGAACGTCTTGTAAGGCGTGTTATTTTTTTGGAACGCTGACATCGTTAACTGGATATCCTGATCGTTCCAGAAAATTATGAACGCTCTCCGTTAACGAAGCCCATCCCTTCACCTAACTTTTAAAGTGTAGTTATTTCTGGAGAAATATAAATTTACAAAATAGTTTTTTTGCAATATGATGTTGTGTGAAAGCATGCCTTGAATGTCGTCTTTCACAATAAAATGTTAAGGCATTAATGACACTGTAAATATATTCAAGCCAGGAGTCAAAAGATTAATAAAAAAGATAACGAGAGAAATATTTTTATGAAAGTGAATATTTGCGAAGAGGTTTTATAATTTGTGATTACAGTGAGAACATGCAAGAAATATGAAGACGACATTTTTTGGTTTTGTTAAAAAGTAAATATTTTTACATTAACGTATTAAATCAATATTTAAGTCAACTTCCTATTCCAGAGTATTCTGGTTGGTAATAATTTATAAATTTGCCGTTTTAGAAGTTTTCAGAAATATATAATTAGAACCGTTACAAATAAAAAAGGGTCATTAGTTATAGCGGGGTAGTGGTATTCCCAGCCTAACTCTCAAATCCAACCATTAGGTCACGTGATAAGTTCCATCTATCTTTCATAGGCCCCAGTAAACACTATCCATACATACAGTGATAACCTGAAAACAATGGAATAGACCCACGACATTCTCGTTAACATTACCGCCCAGAGACAGTGCACTGCAGTACAAAAGATGCGTACTCTGAAATAACTTTCCTTGCATTATAACCTTGGGCCCGATCGGCTTAGCCGCTTTTTCGATACAAACAAAGAGAACTAGCCATTAAACAAACAAAAACATTGTATATATTATATACAGATCTTAGTAAGCAAAGACGACTTTGATTCCTTTTACTGTTTCATCTACCGCTTTTGAGTATATATTACATATATATATATATATCTTAGTAAACAAAGACGACTTTAATTCCTTTTACGTTTAATCAACCGCTCTTGAGAACTGAACTTTGCAGTTACAGACATATTTATGAGTTCACAATACTGAGTTATGTTCGAACACTATTAAATTTTCCGGATTAAAATCATACAAAATGGTTGACCTCAAAAACGTCAAAAACACGTTGGACCTTCAGATCAATACTATGTCATGACAACGGTAATGACAAAATTCTAAGTTTGCGAAGAATATATTTTAATATTCCTAGTCCTTGGGATGACTCAAATGGGATTTATCTGAAAGTAAGTTTTGGGTTTTTAAGAAAACACATTTTATTGGCGGATTATAAACACAATTATGAACAGTGAAGAATTAACAAATTATCATGAACATGATCATGAACATTTATGTGTACATGAACATGATCATGAACATTTATGTGTACATGAAGTTACAGAAACATCGAACAATACATTCATACATTTTGAACCATGTTCTGATGTAATTGACTTTATTTGCTTTATGATTTTGGCACATGTTTATTATATTTGAATGATATGTCACATTAAATGTAATTTTCAAAATTTATAGATAAATAAAATAAATAATAATTAAGTCCATACAAGTTTACGATATGACTAGCATAATACATTAATTAAGACTGCTTGAAAACTATGCATTGTTGGCTGTTGGGCAATTTTATTGCAAAGAAAGGAAAATCTTCATTTATTGCCAAAGACTGCCAATTTAATTTAAAGATAATAATATTTGTTGTCTACATTTAATAAATATGAGATATTATGAGTTATAAAACGACTGAAATTTTAAGTTCTAATCGTAAATTTACTTGACAATTTGGGAGAATGGATTCAAATATCCATCGGAAGAAAAATTCAGAAGTTTTTCCGTTTTTAAGGATTCATTTCATTTTAATACGGACAGTTTTGATATTTTGCTCCTGGATCCGTGGTTGAATCCAATCCATATCTGGATCCGGATCTAGGTCATCGGAAAAGTTTTAAGATATTTTGTTCCTTGGATCCGGATCATTATCAATAGTAACGAGTCATCATGACCGCCAGCTAATTTACAAGAACACTCTCTCATTTCTGAATCCACTTGGAAGCTCTGTGTGCTGTTGGAGCAGGTGAACCTGTTGCTGTTGAAGCTCTGTGTGTTGTTGAAGTTGTTGTTGATATTGTTGTGCAGACTGCCCTCGTCTAATCAAACATTTATATTTTCAGTATATAATCTTCTAAAGGGACTGTAAGCGTTATTTTAAGTCCATGTCAAGAAAGCAATGTCCGATTTACAACGGTACCCTCATAATCATAATCTGATTCAAAATGTCTAAGATAACGTTTTTTTTGCTGTGGCTTTCTCCATTATTTCGTTTAAGCTAGAAATGCACATGTTTCTTTTGCAGAGAAACCAAAAATTAAAATAAATAGTTTAAATAAAAAAAACATCGATATCTTATTCATACTTGATCAGAACAAGCACAGGGCCGGATTGCATACTCTCGGGCCCTTGGAATGATTTTTGCAGATCTGAGGAAAAATTTTAAAATTGGACATCAAAAGACAAGTTTTATTATCTTTTTGTCATATTTCCCCCCCCCCCCAAAAAAAAAAAATTTGTTTATTTTCCACTAAAAATTATTTATTTTCCCCAAATCCGAATAAAACTTTTCAGAAAAATTTGCGATTCGCGCAAACATTAACTGAAGTTCTGGAGGCCAAATCATTTTCGAAAAATTAATTTACAATTTATTAAATGACTTTACAATCGTCTTTGATCTTTGAAATAGTTTATAGCATTCATTTGTAAATCTGATTTTACACAGATGTTAGTGAAGCGACTAGCAGAAAATAGACATTTCCAAATTGTGGTTTGCCGCCTTTTCTGTGAGTTTAAAATGACCAGGGTTGTGAATAATTTCTTCCAAAATGTAAACAAATATTTGAATAATCATCAGAATTAAAAAATAGTGACCTGAGAGTTGCCAGATTATCTAAAGTCATGATATTTTGTTTATTTTCTCCCATTTCTGTCGGAGCACTTCTAGACATAAAAAAATGTGTTTTTAAAGCAATAATTAATGTTCAAAGTATACAAAAACTTTGAAAAAAAATTTTTCTATATAATCCCTTTTTCAGAACCAATTTAAATTTTAAAGAAAAAATAATTTCTAAAAAACCCAATGCCACTGATTAAGGTACATTTTTTTATAAAATTCCTTCTTCAGGACCCATTTATCATTAAAAAAATCTAAAAAACCACAATGCCACTGATTAAGGTACATTTTTTAGCTTTACGAATATTTACAAATTGTATGAGTTAAGGCCCATAACACGTATTTTTTGGGACAAAATTTCACCCTTTAAAACCGCTTTTTTGCCATTAATAGATTTAATAATGAACAGATTTGTACAACTACACGATTTTGAATTGTGTGTTCCAAGACTGATATTTCAAACTAAAAAAATGTATGTAAACAAAGTTTAGAGTATTGAAAATTAAAAAAAAAGAAAAAAATCAAATAAATTTTAAAAATCATTAATAGTTTAATTGTTAAAAAGTTAAATTTCTAAAGTTATAACTGCTTTGCAAAATAGCTAAATTGATAAATGGAAATATTAGATAATTTTTTTTATATTAAATTAATTTAAAAATTTGGACAGTTACACAATTAACTTACTTGTAAGCAACCTTAGGAAAAATGGGAGTTGAAGGTTTCTTATGTTTGCTCCAAACTCCTGTACACTTCCTTAGCAAACCCTTCCATACACGGATAGTTCTAAAAAATGTAATAAAATGTTTTGCGAACGCGAAATCTGATTTGTTAAATAACGACAATATAAGAAAAAAAGTTTTTTTTTCAGGGAAAATGTGAGAAAAAAAGAAAAGTATGATTCAATTTGCCTCTTTTTCAACAAGAAAACATTATTTTACAGACACGTTTTACCGTCTCCTATATGCACCCCTGTACTCGTAAATGATAAGAAGAGGGTATGGGTGAAGGATTTAAGATGAGGGAGGGGGTACCTAGTCGACAAGACCCACGAGCCTGAGATAATGCCTACCACCAACCACATCGAGATTCTCATCATGAATACTTCTAAAAATTTAAATTTATATCAGCTATTTAATTTCTTCTTTCTATGAATCCTACCAACTCTAATAGATGAATCCTACCAACCCTTATCTATGAATCCTACCAACTCTAATCTTTGAATCCTACCAACTCTAATCCATGAATCGTACCAACTCTAATCTATGAATCCTACCAGCTCTAAACTATAAACCCTACCAATTATAATCAATGAATCCTACCAACTCTAATCCGTGAATCATACTAAAACTCTAATCTATGAATCCTACCAACTCTAATATATGAATCCTAACAACTCTAATTTATGAATCCTACCAACTCTAATCTATGAATCCTACCAACTCTAACCTATGAATCCTAACAACTTAAACTATGAATCCTACCAACTCTAATCTAAGAACCCTACCAATTCTAATCAATGAATCCTACCATACTCTAGTCTATGAATCCTACCAACTCTAATCAATGAATCCTACCAATTCAAATCTATGAATTCAAGCAACATAAACTATGAACCCAACCAACTCTAATCTATGAATCCTACTACAACTCTAATCTATGAATCCTACCATACTCTAATCAATGAATCCTACCAACTCTAATCAATGAATCCTACCAATTCAAATCTATGAATTCAAGCAACATAAACTATGAACCCAACCAACTCTAATCTATGAATCCTACTACAACTCTAATCTATGAATCCTACCATACTCTAATCAATGAATCCTACCAACTCTAATCAATGAATCCAACCAACTCTAATCTATGAATCCTACCAACTCTAATCTATGAATCATACTACAACTCTAATCTATGAATCCTAACAGCTCTAAACTATGAACCCTACCAACTCTAATCCATGAATCCTACTACAACTCTAATTTATGAATCCTACCAATTCTAATATATGAATCCTAACAACTCTAATTTAAGAATCCTACCAACTCTAATCTATGAATCCTACCAACTTTAATCTATGAATCCTACCAACTTTTAACTATGAATCCTACCAACACAAATCTATGAATCCTACCAATGACAGGATGTTTTGAAGGATCAGTTCTCCAACTTGGTCTTTCTAACCATTCATATATTAAGGATCCAACCACACATATCTACAGATAGATAGATTATATTAGTCAATCAATCAATCAACTAATCAAACAATCTTCAATCAAACATTCTTTTAATCAAACATTCTTCTAATCAAAAACTCAATCAAACAAGAACAAATCAATTAATCAAGGACAACTTAATGAATGAATGAATAGGTGAGTTGATAAATAAATGAATGATGAATGAATCAATCAATCAATCAATTAATCAAACACTCGATCAATCGAGCACAACCCAATCGATCAATTAGGCAATCAATAAAACAATAAATAAATCAATAATCAATTATTCACTCAAACACGCAATCAATGATCCACAAATAAATAGTTCATTCGATCTATACATAAAACAATCAACCAAATAATCAATCAATCAATCATTGATCAATCAATAACTAAATCAAGGATAAATCACTCATTAAATGAATGAATCAATAAAAATTTTATAAATTAATCCATTAAATATATGGATATTTCAATTTATCAGACTTGAATTGACTATTGTTCTAATCTATGCATAACCGGATCAATCAAATCAAATCAATCAACTAATCTAAGGATTGCTTAACCTGGGGAAGTGTATAGAAGATACTGAATATACCGATCCTAGCAAGCATCTTAGAACTGATCTCACTGGGTCTAAGAATACTACCAACCATCCCGCACACAAACAACAGACACGCCAAACCTTTTGGAAATAAACATGATGTATTTTCTTACCAAGTTCTGAACCGGCGATTTAAAAAATTCAGTGAAATGAGACTCAAGACTTATTAACGACTAAAAATTCAGTGAAATAAGACTCAAGACTTATTAACGACTAAAAATTCAGTGAAATAAGACTCAAGACTTATTAACGACTAAAAATTCAGTGAAATAAGACTCAAGACTTATAAACGACTAAAAATTCAGTGAAATGAGACTCAAGACTTATTAACGACTAAAAATTCAGTGCAATAAGACTCAAGACTTATTAACGACAAAAGCTTTGGAATAAGTTGAGATTAAAATTCCAGAGCACAGAGGAGTTTGGATTAGAATTGAATCTGGTGGATTTTACTGGTTGGAATGGCAGATTTCGGGATTTGAATTTTTAAGATTCGATCAAGCTTTGAAACTAGTTCTTCGATAAAACGCCGAGTTTTAGAGCTAGGTGCTCTAAAGCACGTGAAAAAGCTGTTTTCAGCCGATTCTCAATTTGGGTCATCCTGCTAAATAGCTTCAATTGGTTCCAGGATTTTCTCCAAAAAAATTTGGATATTTGAAATACTGAACTTTTATTTTTTGTTTCTGCTGCTTTGTTATTTGAAACTAGAAATAAACATTGCATCGAGACAATTATTAAGCAATTCATATATATACCTAAAGTATAGAATATGGTTTAAGCTGGAGAAGAAAAGAGAGGGGGGAGGGGTATATTATTTAAGAAGAATACCTAGTAATATAGAATATAGTATAATAAGCTGATGAAGAAGAGAGGGGGGAGGGAGTATATTATTTAAGAAGAATAATAAATGAATAAATGAATAAATGAATAAATAAATAAATAAATGAATACCTGATGTAGAACTAATAAAGATATAGTAAGAATAAATGAATAAATGAATAAATACCTGATGTAGAACTAATGAAGAAATAGTAAGTGCTGCTGGAATCCCCCAACCAATTAAATGAAACAATGGAGATTTCACCTCAAGCAACTAGGAATATTTTTTACATATTAATTTATTAAGAATTCAGAATAAAGGGACTCGAGACGTAATTCAAAGTGACCCTTTAAGCCAATGTCTGATAAAAATAAGCACCCGCGTACGTGAAGCGATCCGGCTGGCAAGCACATTTTTGGAACAGCAGAGGGCGCATTATGTAATGAATGATCTATAATTGCATTATAAATCTTTCGTTACAGTTTAAAGTTTTACTATGTCATTTAAATAATTTTTCTTCCTTTAATTTAAAAATGTTTGATGAAGAGAATTGGGCTCGCGGATAAATCCCTTTTTGAAAATGAGTCTTGTATTCTCAAAATTTAGTCTTTTTTGATTTATGTTCGCAACTTTCTTGCTAAATTGAGCATTTATTATTACAAATTCTGTATGTTTCGCGAAATTTTCGTTTTTTAAAGCATAATTTCAACTTTTTCCGCGAAATTTTCGCATTCTTTTTTTCGCCAAATTTGTGCATTCTTTTTTCGCGAAATGTTCGCATTTCTTTATCGCGAAAATGGTCGCAAAAAAAATTTCGAAAAACGATTTTTTCTTGTGCTAGATGAAAGACAACCTTGATTACCTTGAAATCTAGTGAGGAGAAGACAACCTTGATTATCTTGACATCTAGTGATGAGAAGACGACCTTGATTAAAACCTTGCCATCTAGTGAGGGCAGACAACCTTAATTATCTTGACATCTAGTGAGGGGAAGGCAACCTTAATTATCTTGACATCTAGTGAGGGGAAGACAACCTTAATTATCTTGACATCTAGTGAGGAGATGACGACCTTGATTATTACCTTGACGTCTAGTGAGGAGATGAAAGACGACCTTGATTATTACCTTGACATCTAGTGATGAGAAGACGACAATTGTCCAAGTAGCTGTTGTTATGGTCCACCAGACAGCTGCAGCTAGACTCGAGAAGTACACCAGGATAAAGATAATTGTACAGGCTGGGGTCGGACTCAATCCCTGAACATTGTACATAATTATATAATTAGTGTACTCCAGGATATAGATATATTGTGCAAGCTGGGGTCGGACGTAATCCTTGTACATAAATAAATAATTAGATAACACTAAGATATAGATAATTAATAATTATATAATTATATATATAACTAACCTGTCTAACCACCAGACTAGGTTCCCCCTGTATACTGGTGCAGGATACTCCAGAAACGCCCACCATCAAACGGAGAAGATATCCAGTACTAAACAGTGGTCGTTGTTCACCGTATTTTAATTTTATTAAGAAGATAAGATAATTATAATTGGAACAGAGCTGAAACTTTTGTGTTGGATAATCATAAACCCAAATGTTTGATCTCAATATCTACTAAGGGTACTTTTAATTTGAGGAACAATGCAAGCAATCTCTTCAGGGTACAGATATTTAATAAAGATTAAATTAATCTGCAGATTACCAAAAGATTGAGATCATTGAATTAATCATGATAGTACTCATAAAACAAGAATTCCCAGCTCTGATCAATCTCATTTTCTGTACATTTTCAACTTGATTTCGTACATTTTAAACTTGATTTCGTACATTTTCAACCCGATGTCGTACATTTTTATCTTGATTTAGTACAATTTCTACTTGATTTCGTACATTTTCAACTAGATTTCGTACATTTTCAACTAGATTTCGTACATTATCAACTAGATTTCGTACATTTTCAACTAGATTTCGTACATTTTCAACTAGATTTCGTACATTATCAACTAGATTTCGTACATTTTCAACTAGATTTCGTACATTTTCAACTAGATTTCGTGAACCTTAGTTTCAAATATCAACGGCTATAAAGAAGTTAGAAACATAGTTTGAGGCAATCAGTTACTTTTTTGATAAAATAAAATTTTAAAAAACAAATTAAAAATATGTAAAAAATTGTGTGCAACCATTATCATATCTGAATTAAGACTAATGAAATACAAAGTATTAGACTTCATTATCACAAAACAAGCAAATTTAAGGATCAGTAGACGTCTTTTTATCAAAACAAAATATTCCTTTCTTTAACTTCTACCAGTGTTGTTTCAATTTGATCTTAAAGGGTCTGTACTCGTCATTTCAACTAAACCTCTACGCAAAGATAGCAATGCCCATTGCCCAATTCACAAAGGTACCATTAAGAGCTTTTCTGAACAAGTATAAAATAGATTTTATAATTTTAAAAACAAATTATTTTAAAATGTGATTTCTTTACAAAAATGAATTGTGCTTTTCCATGGCAGGAAAACATATAGTAATCTTCAAACCTAAATCTTCAAAATTAATTTTTAAAAAGGGTATTGTTGTGAATCTGGCATTGCCTTCTTTGCATGGAGGTCTGTTTGCAATTACGCAATTACAGTCTCTTTAATAAATATTTAAAGTTTTAAGATTATAAAAGACGGCAGTGTGGTGACCATGGTCTTTTCATTAAATTAAATCTTTTAAATAAACAAATTGCAAATATAAAATTCTAATTGTGCTAAAAAATAAGCGCATTAATAAGTTGAGAACTGAGCCTTAAAATAATAATAAATAGATACCTTAGAATGTTATAGGAGAGATTTAGAAACACAATACATTTTTCAGGGTACTTAAATCTAATACGGACCAATTTAAACTTATTAATAATATTAACGGTGAGAATCTGTATGATAAATAAAAACTAAGCTGAGGAGAACTATTATTAATGATAAGTTAGTTTTTTTTTCAGTCAACGTTTCCTCCAAATAAAAAATTTAAAACACCCCTCCCCCTTCCTTCGTGATGAACTGGTTTAAACTTATTTTAACTGGTTTAAACTGGCTTAAACTGGTTTAAACTGGCTTAAACTGGTTTAAACTGGCTTAAACTGGTTTAAACTGGCTTAAACTGGTTTAATTTGGCTTAAGCTGGTTTAAGCTGGTTTAAACTGGTTTAAACTGGTATGAACTGGTTTAAACTGGCTTTGTCTAGTTTGAACTGGTTTGTATCCCTGGTTGTATCTAGTATGTAGGTGCCCAAGGTGAAGAGGGTGGTGAGGAAGCACAGGATTGACCAGACAGCTAACCAGATCTCAGCAAACTTCTTATCCTCCTACATAATATTAATGTTAAAAATAGTATACTTTATTAAAATTGACTAAATCTACATGCATCGCCTATGAAAGGAAAACTTGTTAATGTTAACTGATGTTAAATGTTTCATTTTTCAATCAAAAAATTTTAAAAAGTTTGCGGTTGGAACATTATTATAGAATAACTTTTAAATCATAAATCATACATATATGTTTGTTATTATTCTTTTTCCATTTAAATACTTAAGATATGGTGACTTCACATGTCCCTTATATTGAAGAATGTAGATACTTTGTTGGTTTTGTGTACACGGAAGAGGAACTCGGAAATTTTAAAATTATTATTTTCGCGGATTTTCTGATAATCTGCAGGAAATACATCCAATTAATACATAATTTTCGGTGTCATGCATGGATTAACCATTTTAGCACAATGGTAGACACAAAAAGGAAAGTTATCACATTTTCCGATATCTATTTATGTATTTTGATTTGAAAAACACATTAAAAATTATCTATTTCTCGAGTAAATATTAATTGTTTGATGATTTGAAAGGAAGAGAACATTCATTGCCCCCTTTAAAATACATTTAAGACCTTAATACGTATTTAAAATATGTCAACTAATAATTTTTAATGTTTTAACATTGCTTTTTATGTCTAACATTGTGCTAATATGGTTAAAACTTTAGGGGACGAGTCCGCCCCATACAAGAGTCTGCCCCATGCAGGACACCGGTTTGTATAAAGGATTTAAAAAATTTCTGCGCAAATAAGTTTATTTTCCCTGAAAAAAACCTACGACAGGATTAGCCAAAATGTGTCATACTTGAACTTCACAAAACCAGGACAAACTCACAGTATTTTTTTTTTTAAATAATGTGTTGGTTTTAAAATTCATCGATTCTGAAAGTGAAATGAGTGGACCCCCCGGTATCGGGTATCTTGAAAAATCATTCTCTCCCTCCTTAATTATTTTTAAATTAGGAAAGCAGGAAAAAGGAATATTATTTTTAGGAATTTTGAATTATGAATTTTTTGGTGTTGCCCCCACTGAATTGAAAAAAATGAATGATTTTTTTTTAAAACAAATGAATAATCGGGTTCGAAAAAAAGGGAAAAAATTGTCAATTAATGTTCTTGACATTTTATTCCCCCCTCCACCTCACTTTTAACTTAGTGACCCACCTTGGCAAAGAGGACATCTGTTCCACATTTAGGAATACACTGTGCTGTTCTATTCAGATAATGATGGTTTAAAGGGAAGCTTAGTCCAGCACAGCTACCGGAGAAACCCTAAATATCATAAACATTTTTTAAATTATCTTTTTGTTACAAAATAGAAGATTTTAAATGATTATTTAACAGGAAAATAACAGATTTTACAATAAAATCCAAAAAGAATCATAAGGTTCTGTAAAACAGCAGCCTGGAAAATTTTAATTCTTAATTTAAACTAAGAAGTTTAAAACCAAGCTAAGAAAATTTCTGTGGCAAATTTGGCAAAGGGTTCATGACTTAAGAAAAATAAACAAAACTGATTACTGCTTTATATATTTAGGTAATTGTATTCTTCTCGATATCCGTTAGATAATCATAGGTTCCCAGAACAACTTTTGACAAATTGACATACACATCTTTTTTCAGATTTTATGAGAATAAAAAATTTTTGGACTTGAAATTGTGCTGCTAATTTTGCTGTAAAAAGTTCCTTACATACATGGTTCAAAAAAGTTAATTTTGGATTATCAAAAGGGCACGTAGCACCCTGAATATATAATTGACCTGTGCCGGTTTCATGTTATGCATGCTGGTCTCCAGTAGCATCTTTAAGTAGGGGTCAAACTAAACGAAAAAAATTAGGTAAAGAGAATGTTATTAAAATTTCAATGGAGGGGGGGAAATAATTTCGAATAAAGTGTCATGTTTATACATCCTTTTTTATGCTTGTTACTATTTTTAATTTAATTTCCTCGATTCAGCTAATAAATCCCTATAAAACTTAAAAGACAGGGGGGGGGGGGAACTCCTGCATAATTTTAAGCTTTCCATCGATTACAAGAGCAGATGTGTATACACAGGAGGTGGGGGGTTCTTAAAAAATATTAACCCTGTTAAGTGTTTAATTGTAACATCGAGTTTCAAATGAAAAATAAATCATGGTTCTATTGCTCTAGCTCCTGGGTCATTTACTCGTTAGCCATATGCCCTAAACGACATTTTTTCTATACTCCTTAGAGAACGATATTTGCTCTATTAGTAAATTGTGCCGATTTCTAAGCGCAGCGGAGAAATCGATTTTTTGTGACGACCCTGGTACTGTTGTGCACGTAGTGTTCGATCTGAAACTGGTTTAGCTAAGGTTGTACCGTGTACAGGTGTATTCGGTCTCAGTCAGGCTTCAACCGAAGGCATGTGAACGGGTTCGTTAAATTTAAAAGGGTTATTGATTAATTGTTGGATTAGTAGATGATTGATTGATTGATGAATGAGTTGATTGTAAGGTGGAGTCTGACTAGAGTGGGGCCTACCCTACTCGCTGGCGCTGGATCATCATCATCTTATGGTGGAGGAAGGTACAGTACAGGGAATATCTTTGGTAAGTCGTTAAGAAATCCCAATGTTTGCTTTAACTAGCCCCTTATTTTATCTTGGCTGCAGCACTCAGCCATCATATAATGGCAATACCTTAACTACATAGTTCCAGTGCTCGGACCCCTTACCTTCGTAAGTTCAGGTTTTCCTATACTGAATTCTTTAACTCGTTGAATAAGATCAGGATTCGCCTGAAGAGAGTTCAACGCATCCCTAAAAATTCTTCAAGTAAAATTTTATAATTGACTGATTTGAAAAGTCGATCTTAAACGATCGATATTTTTTACTTGATTCTTGATTTTTATCCAGTCATTTGTTTGAAAATGCTATTTCTAATTTAAAATTTAATCTAAAAAGTTTTAAACATTTCGAAATATATATTAATCATATACCCCCCCCCCCGCTCATATTTCTTAACAACCTGGTGTGATTATATCATTTTAGGTCAGATTAGGTTTAAATGAAAAGATAGTTACGCAAGATAACCAATAAATGTGTACCTATAAGCTGATTCTGTGGTAGAACTAATGTAGGAGTGGGTGGTAGTGCTACTCACATAGGAGCATGACCAAAGAGGGGGTGGGGGGTTACAAACCTATAAGCTGATTCTGTGGTAGAACTGATATACGAGTAGGTGGTGCGACTCACATAGGAACACGAACCCCCTGTTCAGGGGGGGGGCTATATACCTATAAGCTGATTTTGTGGTAGAACTGATGTAGGAGTGGGTGGTAGTGCTACACACATAGGGACATGAACAGAGCAGAGGAAGAATAGAAGATCAGGAGAACAATTGTATTTTATCAGGGGGAAGAAGGTTTCCAACCCCGCCTGCGCAGATCCCTAGATAAATAGATAATAATTATATATAAAGTAAATACAATTGACTCTTATTCCAAGTTGGTTTATATTAAAGGGACTGAAAGTGTAATTTCAAGAGACCCTCCATGAATGGATACTAGATAGCACTGCCCGATTTAAAAGCGATGGATCCTTTAACCCTTGATCTGTGGAGGATAACGCTATTTTTCCGAGTCGAAAAATGTTTGACTCTGATAATATTTCTTCATTGTTTCTTACTAGCAAGAAATGTGCAAGTCACTTTTGCAGAGAAACCACAGATGAAAATAAGCAGTTTAAAAACAAAAACAAAGATATCTAATCCATACATGTTCAAACAACGCATTCAAGGGTACCGTTGTAAATTGGATATTGCCATCTTAGCAGTTTGCATGAAAGGTCACTTGATATAACGCTAACAATCCCTTTAAGATAGATCGATAGTCAACGACTTTTATATTTTGCAAAGGTGACATTTCCTCAGATTTTAGTTTTATTGGATTATATTTCTACTTTCTAGGATGAGAAAAAAAAACCCCGAAAAGTTACGAAAAAGTATTGTTGAGAACCCCACTATCAGGAAGAAATATTAATAATACAATTCATTGTTTGCTTAATATAATATTTTTTTCCTATAAAATTATTTTTTAGAAGTGAGAAAAATGTTTTGAAAAAAATAAGTAATACTAAATTATCACCAATTTCACATTTGGAACCACCAAAATTTTTTAATTTTGAATGAAGAATAAGTTCATTAAATATAATATAACTTTCGACATGTTTTTTATTATAGAAAACTAATAATAAATTCAAAATTGGTGAAACAAAATATTAATCAAAACAAATAAAATAAAAAAGTAAAGTTTATTTTAATAAATACCCAGGGGTGTAAAAAATGAAAAATTGGACATCTTTACTTTATACCCAATAATGTATCTATTTTACCCCATAATTTCATGAATTTCCCCAATTCAGCCAATAAAAATCCTGAGAAAAAAAATGTTGCTCCGCGCAAACATGCAATATTACATAACTTCTCGTGAAAAACATTATTTTAAAAAACGTGAATATTTGGAGAAAATTGACAGCCCTGATGTTTACCTAAAGCATCCGGCCAAGGGATGCTGAACTCCTGAAGAACTGGATAACAGAGTTGTTTAACACGTTCACACATTGGTCGGCAGGGTCCTAAATATATTAAATTCATAAACGCCGACATTGCTTAAGCGCTCGGACAACAAAATCTTAGATAACCTTTCAAGACCTCGGAAGAATTCCCCGGCTGATCATAATCAATGATCATGATTAAAACATTTATCGTTAAAAATAATTTTGGAGAAAGTTTTGACCCAAAAAAAACATAAAATTACTCATCTTTTATTTCAACTGTGAACATGTTCTGTTCGTATACATTGTAAAACAAAAAGAAACAAAAAAATTCGCGGATTAAAAAAAATCGTGGATTTTTAAAAATTTTCAAAAATCGAAATCTGTTAGAAGCAAATGTTTTGAAAATTCGATCATCTATAAACCTTCCCTGAGGTCACGCGAGGTTCCACAAAAAATATGGGCCTGTTCCGTTCAGCCGTTTTTTTTATACAAACAGACAGACAGACAAGCAAATTACATATATAGATATTATAAAACCAATAAAATAATTACTTGAAAGAAGGGCGCGAATTATCACTGAAGCCTAGTTAATTGATTAAAGAATAGAAAAAAATGTGATCTTCAAATATGCAAACAAAGGAATGTAAGATCTGAAAAAGAGGTAAAAGGGCACTCATTTTCCATACATTTCGAAATTTCAGAGAATTGTAACAGATAATATCGGGTTTGAATATGAGACACGATGGGCTATTAGGTTGCGCGTAACGCAAATTTTTTTTGCCCCCCCCCCCCTAAACATTTCTAAGGGGGGGAGGGGCAAGAAAAATGTGTATTATTCTCAACCATAACAAAACTACCTTACCAATTCAAGATATTTTGGGAGTAAATTTTTATATTTAGGGGCATCTTTTCAGTTTGGGGCAAGTTTGTGCTGGAAAAATCTTATATTTACATTGCAGGGGGAAATTTAATTTTTTTTGGGGGGCAATTTTCAGTTTGAGGAAAGCTTAAATCTTTGTTATAGGGGCAAATTTTTTTTTTGGTGGGCTTTTTTTTAGTTTGGGCAAATTGGTGTATGGGAAATCTTAAATATTTTTTGAGGGCAAATTTTTTATCAAGGGCATTTTCAAAGTAAATGAAGGAGCTTTTTTGTAATCAAAAATTCTTAATTTTGGAGTATTTACATTAAAGTTGGGTGTATTTATAAAACATTAAGGGATATAAATAAATAAAAAGATGTAAATTATAAAAATTTGGTAGCATTCTAAAAAAAGGCAAATTTAAGTCCGGTGGGGCAATTTGAATAAGAATGTGCGAGTATACAAAATTTAAAAAAACAATTTTTTGGGCATTTTTTAAGAAAGAGGGCAAAAAGAAAAGTATCTGAGCTTATATTGAAAAATGTTATACTGAAATTTAAGTTTCCTTTAAGGAATGGGGGCATAAATGAGTGTAGGTAAAAAAGAATTACTGTAGGGGCCTATTTTTCTCTTAAAATGTTCTACAAAATTAGTTATATTTGGAACTATTGAGACCCCTGTGACAGACTTCTGCCCCCCTCCCCCATGAA